TCCAAGCCCCTCAAAGCCAAATTTGATTTGTTCGCTTAAAAAGGAATTAAAAAAAAAAAAAAAGAAATTAAAAACTCCTCAACCAAACAAGCAGCCCTCGGGCACCCAGTGGGCATGAAGGGAGCCTGGGTGTGCTGCAGCCTGGGGCGGCCTGAGCTGCCTTCCTTCAGCAGATAGGAAATGTGGAGGATGCCAAAAGCACCAGCAGGCTCTGGTTGTTAGGAATCCCCCGAGCCTTTTGTGTAGCCGGAGGGAAGATGAAAGCTAGCCAGGGTGGCAGCTCCAGCATGATGGGGAGGTGTCCTGCACCTTCCCAGGACACAGCAGCACAGAGAGGGGACGCGGCACCAGCACTGAAGCGGAGAGGAGGAGACCCCCACAAGCCTGCAGTCTCTAGAGGTACCTCCCCATCCAGTTTCGTAGGACTGCAAGGCACAAGGAGGGTGTTCACCTGGCAGAGGTGGCGACTTCTTGAACCCTAAGGAAGGAGAGACCTGTAGGTCTGCTGCAAACCAAGGCAGGGCATTTATTGATCAACAGGTGGGAAATTGTGGTCCTAATCACAAGCAGCCTGGTATTGATAGAGCTGAGTTAATAATGCTTAAGGGGAGACAAGGAAAGGTCAATGTGGAAGTGAAAAATCGACTGCTGTCTCGTTAGGCCCGGGTGCCTATATTATATAAACTTGGCAGTGCACCTCAAGTAAACCAGGGAACATAAATTATGTAAATTCATCTCCCATCTTTCTACTGCACTGTTTTAAAGAAAGCAGGGTAAGACCCAGAGTACATGATAAAGGGGGGGAGACTAAAAGGAAATGCACATAAGCTTAAGGGCTGTCATATGCATAGATTTTCCTGCATAGGTCATAAATTAATTTAAATATGAGGACTATTAAAATCCTCTAGCATAATCCTGGACATAAAATTTCCTCCAAATGTCCTTCTATGAAACCTTTGCCTTTATCTGAACAAGACAATACCCTCCAGAAGGACATTGAGGTTTGATTTAAAGGTAGGGCATAATAGAAAAAGCACTATATCATTAATAAGCTAATGCAAAAGTTATCTCTTCCATCCAGTATAAATGTATTTTGTTTTACTTTCCAGAGTGACTGGTTGCTGAGCAGGAAACTTGGAGTGAAAAAGTGTCCTTTCCTCACAAGGCCTAGAAAATCTAGAAAACCATTATGAGTGAAAGACCAAAACACCAATAATTTCAGGCTGGTATTACACATTTAGATGTAGAAAGAGCATTCTCTTTAAAATTACCTTCTTTACATGTTGGCATATTACAGGTCAGAGACGAACCTTTTCCTGGGCATCCCACTGGGAATCTGAATCAGTGCTGACAGGGCAGGGAGCAGGGTCTTAGAAGAATGGCACTGGTTTTGCTCCTGCTGCATCCTTCCCTGCCTTCCAGCTGCTCACAGAAGTCTCTCTGCTCTACTGCACCACTGGGTTTAGAAAACTTATGAAGATTCATGCTCTTCCAGGTTGCTGCCTTTTTGTCAGGTTTGGTTGAGATTGAGCAGCAAATTATAACAATTGCAGGGAGACACAGGAGTGTTGCATGTGCACCTCAAGTGCACCAGCCCTTGGGGACCAGGCCAGTCCTGACCACAGGCACGAGCCTTCACTGCTTCTTGCAGGATGTTTCCAAAGGAAAGGGGGTCAATCCCATTTGCTGCAAGCCATGGGTATCACAAGGAAGCCCAAAGCACGGCCCTGCGTGGTTCTTACTTTAGCAGTTCCGTGCAAAGCTGCCCTGAATTTACCATTTAAAACCCTTAGCACCGTCAGTTGGAAATTTTTCATGCATCTCTTCACAAAGTCAATGTTTGCTCAGCTCTCCTGTGCCTGGCTGTCTCTGCACGGTCTCATTTGCTTTTCCTACGTGGAGCAGGGTGACCAAGGTTGCTGATGCCTAAAAATAACATCTCCATTAGCTGCCATCCCTGATACCTCCTCTTTGTGGCCTGATTTCCCAATGAAACAAGGCTGCTGTGATCATGTTGCCTCTTTGCCTCTTGACCCCATAAATCACTCTCAGATCTGCTGGCCGCTTTCAGCAGTGGCTGTGGCAACAGGGTGGATGTCTCAAAGGTAGCTGAGCTGTTGCAATCTCAGCAAAACCTCCTAGGTGAGAGAAAGAGAGAGATTCCATCTTGTAACCCTGCATGGAAAAGAGTTATGGCCAGACCTCTCTTAGTGAGCAGCAGAGAAGCTGCCAAGGCCAGGGGAGATGCACAGCCTGACTGAAACAGCTTTGCTCACATTCAGTGTCTTTGTAAACAGCCCATAATCCATCAGCAGGACACAGAGCCCCGGCAGTGTGGGCTCCCAGGCCATGTGGAGATCACCAGAGTGCTGCAGCTTAAGTGATTTAATCCCTAATAACAATATTTGAACACTTAACAATTAGAGAAGAACTTTCACGCAGCTTCCTTGTCAAGATGTGAGAGTAATCATTTCTAAGACCCCATTCTAAGCTGTAATGCTAATCAGTATTAAGATCCTTCTTTTTCAGAGCAGAATGCCACAGTTAACCCCAGCATGCCAAGATGATTCCACTGATTGCTGGAAGCTGTTCTGGAGGCTGGACTTGCTTGGACACCTGGTAGGGAGGTCACAGCACCTTGGTGCTTCTGTTTCATTTGTAGGCAAGAAACTACAGTCAGGGTGGTTGTACCTCAGCCCTGTCACCCTCAGGAGGACTGATCCAGGGGCTGCTTCTTGCCAGCAAGAACCTACAGTCCCATCTCAGGATGGGTGGGAAAAATCCTGAAGCAGAGGAAGCTGAGCAAAGCTGGGAATGGGTCTCAGAGATAAAGATACCCAGCTGGGGTACTGAGGCTTCACTGTGGGCTAGACTGTGAGTGCTGACAGGGAGGCACTGAGGGTCCACAACTCTGTGCCAGTCTGCCTTGGTGTCCCCAAGAGCTGGCTGTGAATCTCTGGCGTGGGACTCACACATGGTGGAAACTACCTCCTAATTTTCCATTTGAAAGGGAATTCTTAACCCACCTTGGCCTCTTTGTTTATTCTCCTGGTAGTGGATGTTTATCAGCCAGTGCCTCGGGGTTTGTTCCCTTCCTCACTGTTGCACTCCAACCATCGGCTGCCACAAAACAGAGGGGGGAAAATGCACAAATATCTCTCCATTCAACAGATGGCTTGAAAAAAAAAACAAGGAAGGAAGCTTAGCCAAGACACTTGTTTTAAGGGTGCTTCAGACACAGAAATGGAACACATGGTTTCCTTTCATCACTTGTGTCAGGATTGGAGCTGGGCTAGGAGGTGTCACCCCCCTCACCGCTGCACGCCTGTCTCCTTCAAGCTATGTGGAGAATCTCTTCACTACTCTATCTTGACACTCTCCCTTTGATCTGTGTCTTCTCAGGTTTATTTTCCAAGATGCAGAAAGAGCCTTGTCAAGTGGGCAGTGGCAGAGCCTCTCAGCAGAGGACATTCACCTGTCAGGCTCTTTCTCTTCCACATCAAGTTATTTCTTTTCCTTTCTCTTCCTGCACAACAGCCAAAGAGGGAACTTTTTTACCCTGGCCCAAGGGAAAATCTGCCCCTGCCAGGGGCTGGCGTGGCTTGGGGATCACATGCAGCTCTGCCCAGGGCTGATGTCTTCACATCCAAGTTTATTGCAGTGTGTGGTCCAGAGTGTGACGTGCTGGCCTAAGGCGGGTCTTCCTCTGCCACAATCTGCTTGGTGGCTTAAAAAAGCAAATATTGAGCAGAGCACAGAACTGGCCAGTGGGTACCAGGAACCTCCTGTGGTTATAAAACAAGAAAACCAAAATAGCTTTAATGCTTTTCACACTGCGTAGGCTTAAGTGGTTTTTAAAACAGGCTTGGTGTGCCCTGAATGTGGTAAATGAATTCCTCAGAGTCCTGGAGGGCTGTCAGTGTGCAAGAGACCGGGCATGGCAGGAGGGGCAGCCTGAGACACAGCAGCTAAACGTCCCCCAGCTGCCTCAGATAAGCCCTGTAACGGGGTACAAAGGTCCTTTGGGTAGGGGTGCTTTGTGTAAGGGGTAGATGAGGGCAGGAGCTGCCTTGCCATAACTTTATTGAAGGCACTGTCAATTTTTTTTCCATCTCATGGGTCTGCCTTGAGCAGTGCTGGGGGCTCAGGCCGAGCGTGGACCACTCGACTGAGCTGTGTGGGGTCCCAGCAGTGCATAGGAGACCTCACTGGATGGGTGAGAGTGAATCCCACCCCAGCAGCTTCCCCAGGATAGCTCGTCTTCTCCCTGGGACAAGCTGGGAGTCAGGGAGTTGTGCTGTCTGCTGCTCGACTGTGCCATGAGGTGACATGTGTCACACAGATCATGTCTGATTTTTATTTCTCTTTAAAGCAAAGATCTTTTTTAGCATGCGAATAAACGCTCTCCTAAAAGAGAAGACACCATCTGCTCCCAAGCACAAATTTAATTTTCCAAAGGGATAGATTTAAATAAGATCCACAGGCACGGAGTGGTAGCTGGGGGAGCCTGTAATGGGGCTTGGCCCCTTTGGCATCTTGCTGGAAGCAGATGTCTTAGTTTATGGGGGGGAGACGTGGTGCCTGCAGTGGAACAGGGGTTCTGACAGCTGGAGACTCCACAAACTCCCTGAGCTCCCAAGGTTAAACTGGTGCTTGCAGGTAGGCTTAGAGCATCAACAGGCAGACAAATGATCAGAAGGCAGTTGTGCGGGGGCTCTGCCACACACAGCCTGTGCCCAGTGGGGCTCCAGCTCTTTCCTCATCCTCAGGGGAGTCAGCAAGCAGGAATCACAGCTGCAGCGAGGCACTTTCTTGTGCACAGCCATTTGTTGGGTGGGCTGGAGCAAGGATGTGCACCTGGCTGGTTTTTTCCTGTGCGAGTGCTGAAAGTGCCAGCAGCTCACCAGTCACACCAGTGACTGGTGCAGCCCCTGTGGAGCTTTGCTCCCTGTCAGCTGAGCCTCGTGGCCCTCACGTGCTTTGCCTCTCTTGCCTTCCAGCCGCTGGTGTTGCTGATGGAGTGGCCTGAAGCCACCAACTTTGCCTGCCTCATCGCGGGCTACTGCCGTCTGCTGGTGGACTCCAAGAAGATGATCCTGTCCAGGGCCCCCAGCCAGCCACCCCCACCTCAGATTATCAAGGCAGGTACGTTTCAGCCTCTGCTTTCTGTGCGAGCCCCTTCCCCAGCCTCCCCCTCCCTCTCCTCCCTCCACCCAGGGCTCTGCAGCATTAGGAAGGTGAAGGGTTTATCTGGCATCTCCCCTCTGCTCCCATTCACCCGAAGAACAAGCAGCCTCCCTTTTAACCAGAAAGCAAGGAGCAGGGACACAAGTCCTCACTTTGGATAAGCTCTGGCTTGCGGTGTCAGCTCAAGCCGCAAACACTCGCTGTGAGTGTTGTTCTGGCAACTCCTGGAGCAGATCCAGGAGGTGCTGTTTGAGAAGACCTGTAATGCTGCCAGCTAAATGCTGGATCCTCACAGAACAGCCTGTGTGCTGCCGCAGGGATGCAGCACACACTCCCTGGATGGCATCCCAGCTCCAGGGACCTGCATGAGGTCCATTGGACTGCATTTCTGCTGCCTTTGGATACTGCTGCCTCCATCCCGGGGGTCTGAGCTGCATGGGCAGCTCTGTAAGCATGGCTGCTCTGCTATTTCCCAAATCAGGAAGGCAACTTTGGTGTCCCAGCTTTTCAGCCTGATGCAAGGAGCAGAAGGCTGGTCTGGGCACAGCAGGAGGTTCTGTCCTGACAGGCACCAATGCTGTTCCTTGAGGATGGATTACAGGCGTGAGTCACCCTAAGAGAAGATCAGTGATTCTCAAGAGTGATTTCAAACAAGGGCCAACCATGAACTACATGCTGCTGTTCCATGCAGGTGTTCACATCAGATGTGTTTTGTACAGGGAAATACAAAATATGGGTAAAATACCAACCCAGAGCTCTATGGAAGGTTGCCCCAGGACCTCCCAAGTGAAGCTGCAGCTTCAGGCAAGTTTTTAGTTTAGCTGGCAGTGTCAAAATTCCCTCCTCAAGGTGAGACTGGCTTGGGGAGGTGGGAGGAGTGCAGAGAGTTAGCAGGGTCCCTGGGAGATGACTTGGTGCCATTGGGGAAGGCACCTGGACACAGATTCAGCACATGTTGGGGGACACCCTCACAAGAGGCATCAGGAAAGCACCTGCAGCAACCTCAGTGAATCCAGGCAAAGGCCTGGCAGTTGATGATGGTGTGAGTATAAGCACAGTTTCCTTTTCCTTCTTCCCTGTGGCTCTGGTTGACAGCTGTCACTGTGCTCCCTGCTCTGGGTGTCCTACGGGAACATATTTAGGCACATTTTGCTGTGAGCAGGGGGTGTTTCCAACTTAACTGGCCATCATCAGAGTGGTCCTTCCCAGGCTCATGTCACTCTGACATGGGCTACTGGGACACATGGGGCACTTGGCTGTGGGGAGTCAGAGGGTGGAGAGAGCATCCCAGAACATACCCAAGGGCTTGGAAGGAGGCTGGTGGCACCCACAGGGTGCAAGTGGTGTTTTTCCACACTCTAGCAATGATGACAACAGCCAGGACTTTTTCTTGGGGAGATTTTCCTTCATGGGTGTGGTCCAAACCTCTGCCTTTGCCCTTTTCTTGACAATCTCAAGAAGCCAATGTCACTCTGCTGGGGGTAAGGGGAGTCACAGTCTGGGTAGGACAGCAGTGGAGCAATGGGTCTGAGCCAGCCCCTCCCTGGATGGCCTGTTCTATCCTCAGAGGTGCAGTGAAAACCTCTGTGACCAGTGGAGTGGAGCAGTTTCCCTGCAGACCCTGCACACTCGGCCCAGCTGCTCAGCCGTCCTTCAGAAGGAGTGAATTTAGTGTGTATTGGGAAGAGTCTGCTCACAGTTCTGGTCTCAAAGGGCTGCAGGCTGAGCTGTCAGGAGCTGGGCGGATCACAGGGAGCAGGGACTGCTGATCATTAGCACATCCTTGCAGGAGTGATAAGAAAGCCCCACTGGGATGAACTAAGTTAGCCCAGACGGTTGACTTCCCAGGCTGCAGGCAGGCTGTGCCAGCATCTTAAATGTAAAATCAAGCCTTGGCCCATGCTTTTACCTAGAAGAGGAGCACATCCATCTTCCCTGAGGCCCATTAAAACCTCCTGCTGAACTACAGACATTTTTAGAAATGCACAGGCTGTCCCAGTGTTGTCAGTTAGATCCATCTCTCTGCATTTCCCTGCGGAGCCATATGCCAGAGCCTTGCCCTCCGTCGTCCCTGCCCCTTCTTTCCCCCACTCCCACCAGGAGCCATTGTCAGCCAAGCAGCTCTCTGCCCTTAATTGCTCTCTCAGCTCTTTCTCAGGAACTTTTACCCCCGAGCATCCAGCAGCTGGATTATGGATTTGAGGGGTTTGGCCCCATTCAGCAGCAGGCCCTGGCTCATCATGAGCAGCCAGTGAGGCATGGACATGATCCACTGGAGGTGTCTGGGTTTGGGAAAGCCTCTGCCTCAGCCTGTGCCACCCTGCCACATCCAACATGTCCCCTCATGTGTTCCCCTACACAGCATTTCCAAGCACTGGCATGGCCACAAATGAAAGAGACTTAGGGTTGAGTGGGGATTTTAGCACTGCAGGTGATGAACAGTATAATACAAACGTGTGTTTGGGGAGACAAATTGTCCAATTTGTTGAGCTAATGAATTTAATTAGGATTTGTTTGATTTAATTTATCCTTGGTAAGACAGAACCTGCATCCCCTGGCAGCCGTTCTCAGCACAGCTGCACAGTTCAACCTGCAATGCAGACAGATGCCTCTCCTGAGGGCTGGACTACTGGCCAAGCAGTATTTCAGCCACTTGCCTTGCCCAAGGGAGCAAGGGCAGGCTGTCACAGGTAGATACTTCACAGCAAGAGCAGCAGGCTCTTTCAGAGCCAGCCTGATCCAGTAGCCATCAGCCAGACAGAAATAACACATGGATCGTGGGCAGCAAGGGACAGGGGGCTGGGGGTGTGTCTGTCACTTAAACACAGCCAAACTACATTGGATGCCTCCCCAAAAGGCAATACTGCACCACATTTAGCAGTCTCCTGAGGAGCACTGCTTGGTCTGGCCAATGTTAGGCAAAAATTATAACAGTTTCTTCTTGCCATATAACGAGTGAGCTGGCAGACTGAGGCTGAAGGTCCTTGTTGGTGCATGCAGCCAGGCTGCTCCTGCTGCCCTCTGGATGTGGCTGGTGGATCAGTGATGTGGCACTTGTGTCCCTGTGTCAGTGCTGGATGTGCTGGCCAGCCCTCCTCTGGCTCTGCCCAGCTCTGCCCTCAGCAACCTACAGGCATCTTGCTTCTTGTCCTTGCTGCTGTCACGCAGCACAGATACAAGGCATTTTCCCAGGTAGCTAACAGGGAGAGAATCCTGCCTGGAGCAGTAAGAAAGCTTGAGACATTTAGGAAACAGACCTGTTGGGAAAGGTTAAAGGAATTTGCCGTGGTTAGTCTGGAAAAGAGATGGGCGGGGAGATGGAGAGGAAGGAACAGAACAGTATTTCTGATGCCTCAAAGCTGTCTGTGAAAGGGCACTGATCAGTTGTGCTGGTGGTCCATGGTGGCATTGATCTAATTCCTCATCAAAAAGAAAAAGCTTTAAAGTCAATACTCTTTTATCATAAATGTCATAATATTTTGCTTTATAAAATTTATATCATTAAACTCTATAGCATGTAATAATTTTGGAAATAATGGAGCAAACCCCACGAGCAGGTGGCATGCTACCTTAGTGTGTCACAGGGCTTTTGCTGGCACCCAAATCCTGTCCAGCCACCCTCTAGGCTCTTCTGACCTCCACCATCACTGCAGCTCAGCCACACCTAAGGGCTTCACTAATACACTTTAACAACTCTTTTAATGGGATTCTTTAATGGGAATCCAGATTTATTCATTTAGGGAAAGAAAGGCAAGTCAGCTCCTTCAATACCACGTGGGCTTTTTTTGAGCTGGCCACCTTCCACATGCACCCTGTAAATCTCTGTATGTTCCTCTCCCTTCTGCCTCTTCCGTGTCTTCTCTTTTCTTCTTATTGTAGGAAGGGGTTGATATCTCAGAGCCAGAAGGTCCCTTGTCTTCAGTGTCAGCAGTTCCCTCCTGCTCTTGGTGGCCACACATGGTACCTCTCAGGCTTATCCCTTTCCTCTTGAGAGACCCACACACTGGAAACATTCAAGGTCAGGTTGGACAGGGCTCTGAACAACCTGATCTAGTTGAAGATGTCCCTGCCCATTGCAGGGAGATTGGACTAGATGGCCTTGAAATGTCCCTTCCAACCCAAACCATTTGATAATTCTATGGTCTGTACATGCAGGACATTTCTTCTCCCTGGGCAGATAGGCCCAGCAGGTTTTTGGAAGGTGGCCTGGCTGTGCTGCAGGGTACACACATGTCCCACTGCAGCCCAGCCTGCTGAGGAATGGAGGGCAGAGAGTACATGGGTGCTTCTCCAGGGTGAGCAGGAGCTTCCCCATGCTGTTTTTCCTTCCCCCGGGTGCTGCTGCTAACATTCCTGTTGTGCTTTTGGTTTAGATTACATCAACGCACACAACTTCCACCGGCCTGCCGGGGCAGGGCACGTGGGAAAGAAAGAGAACGGGCTGGTGGGTGGCTCTGCCACTGTCACCGGAGCAGCCGGGCCTTCTGCCACCAGGGCTTCTGACTCGGAGCTCATCCGCTTTTGCTACCTGCACATGCGAGAGCAGAGGAAGGAAAGAGAGAGCGGCACGGATATCAATGAAAACCTGATTTTTTTTGAGGAAACTCGTCCCAGGACCAAATCTGACCCCACTTCCAAAAGCTCTGGCCAAGGCTACAACGGGGCTGCCAACGAGTATGACCCGGATGGCCTTGACCAAGACAGGCACGCGAGCAGGGCCAGGGCACACACCATAGACACCCACCTGCGGAGCGACGCCTCGCACTTCTACTGCGAGTCCTGCCAGGCCAAAATCAAGAGCCGGCTGGCCTCATGCATGGGGGGCAAGCCTGGCACCACCCGGGACAACATGGTGGACTTGATGTCGCTTCCCCCTCCCGGGAACGATGAGGAAGAAGACGAGACAACGTCCCTGCTCCCCGCCATCGCCGCCCCTCCTCCTGGCTTCCGAGACAACAGCTCCGACGAGGATGACCCCAAGCGCCGGGCGGCAGCTGCCCAGAGCCAGGAGCAGGGCCGGCACCTCTGTGGCATCCTCTACGACGAGATCCCTGTCACGCTGATAGACAGCGTGCAACCACGGACGGTCCGGGACCATGCCCAAGAGCTGGATGATGCCCTGGTGTCCACCCTGCAGGCACTGGAAGCCCTGGCTGCTTCAGAGGATTGCCCGCATCCCCCACCACAGCAGACAGCAGGTATTTCAGTGGCTGTGACTCCCTTTTTTCCCTATAGCCTTTCTTTCCTATTGTACGTCCTTCCCTTTAGTCTCCTTCTGCCATCCTATGGGACTGTGGAGCAGCTTCTAGTAAAAACTAAGTTGTGGTAACAGGCTCTAGCAGGAGCAGCCAAGCTGCTGCTCAGAAGATTTCTAAGAAGCTGAGGTGGGACTCCTCTCCCTGGCAGTGGCTGAAGGAGTCTCTTGGTTATCCCATATCTGCCGTGGTCCACATGCCACTATGCTGGGGTGAGTCACTAACAGACCAGTACTGTGAGCATGAGTTCCTCCCCACTGTGACCCCACTCAGCTGGTACCTTTGGCCATCAGTCTTTGCAGGTTCCCACGGGTTTTGCAGGGTGTGAGCCCTTCACAGGGCAAACCTGCTGTCAGATGGGTGACTCTGGGACCAGCCTGCTGGCATCACAGTCCTTTGTCCCTCTCCCTGCCCTGGTTGCCCTACTCACTATGGCAGACCAGCTGTGACCCGATTTTCCTTCTGGGACCAGAGAAGCCCCTGTAGGGTGGTCCAGTGTTTCCACTAACACTAGAAAACTTCCCAGGACCTTTTCCTGGGCCAGGAGCTCTTGCTGAATTTATCTAGCAAGACAGCTCAGTGCTGAAAAGCGACCTCACTTAAAAGCATTAACTCTTATTAGTGTAAAGTCATGAAAGTTTCTCCGATGGGATGATGTGTCCTGCATTCCTGGGACCCTCTTGCTACCTGGAGTTCCCCTCTCCTCCACACAGGGGTGGTGTGAGGTTTGTTGTGGGGTTTTCTTTGTGTCCCTCCTCAGGTCTTATTGTCCTGGCTGCCATCACTCCCGAGTCCTCCTTGGACTCTGGCCATGAGACAAACTCCTCAGAGCTCACCGATGTCTCGGAGATGGTCTCTGCCATGAAGCAGCATCAGAACGCAGCCTACTTCCTCACACAACACATCAACAAAGAAAACCTCCTGGCCAGGAAGGACTTGCCTTTCCGAATCCAGAGCTGTGCTGCCCAGGCTGTTCTCACCTCACCCTACCCCCTGAGCCGCCAGGAGCCAAACCCTTCAGTGAAGCCAGCTTCCTCTCCCCAAAGTCCTGGCCTTACCAGCTGCAACAGCAAACAGGAGCAGCAACATGCTGAGCAGAGCTACACCTCAGCTGTCCAGCCAGGGCTGACCCCCCAGCTCAGTGAGCAGAACAAGGGCGCTCCAGTGCCAAGCGCTGAAAGCAAAGGTGCAGGCCACACAAAAGCTGCCTTTGAGGTATCTCTGAATCCCACAGCAGCCCTGAGCAGGGAGCAGTCACAGGATCTACAAGAGAAGGTGCCCAAAGAGGTGCAGCCAAGCTCCAAGCTCCTCCTGGATCAAAAAAGCTGTGTAACTCCAGCCATCATTTCAGCTGCTCTGCAGCAAGTGGCAAATGCAAAAGCCTCAGCTCCCCAAGTGGTATCAGCCTTAAAAGAGGACCAGAATGTGAATGGTACCAGCAGCTGTGCATTAGCCAGCAGCAAGCCTTTGACACTTAAAGGAGGTCCACAAACTGCAGAGACATTATGCAACTGTCAGCAGCAGCAGCAGCAGCAACTCTCTCAGCAGCAGCACTGTGAAGTCTCTCCAAGCCCTAAAGAAGCTCACGGCAGTCAGGCTGAAGCTTTCCACCTCGCTTCAGCAGGTGAGGAAATGATGTCCAGTAAGACTTTTGCCTCTAAAAGCTACCAGCAAAAAGTGAGTAAAGATGTTCCAGGAAAAGCTGCAGGCGCAGAGACAGGGCAGAAGGCAGGTGGGGAAGCCACGAGCCTCGTCTTGCAGAAACACACAGCTCCTTCAAACCCAGGACAGAAAGTGCAACAGGAAAGTTCAGCCAAAATCTTAAAAGCTGAGAGCGGCAAAGTGCACTCTCCATCACCTGGTGGCATTTTCAGGAGCACCAGTGAGGAAGCCAAAGGGCCAATCCAGCTGATGCCCAGATCTGAGAGCCTGCAGATTAGCACTGTGCCTTCTAAAAAAGTAGAAAAAGTACTGGAGGTGACCCAACAAGATGCTGACGTCCCAGCTAAACCCAAAGCCCCAAAAGCTCCCTTCAGGTTCAGGAAGCTGTTCTCTGCAACGTTTCCGACCCGGCTGAAGAAGGAGACGGACGAGCGGCAGGCCCAGCTGCAGAAGGTGAAGCAGTACGAGCTGGAATTCCTTGAAGAGCTGCTCAAGCCAAAGAGCAAAGGTGACCTCCCACCACAGGAGTATCTGCACCCACCTGCCCCTGGGCGCTGCAGCTGCCAGCTAAGGAGCAGTCCTGTGCAAAAAGTCCCGGGGATGTCCAGGGAGCAGAGGCGCAGCTGTGACTGCAAGAGGATTTGCAGGGGAATGAGGCCACCCCCGAATCAGTTGGTGATACCAGAACTGGAGAGGAGAGGGAGGGATAAAGTTGCAGATGAGCAGAAGCAAGTAGAAGCCATTAGGCTGACAAGCATGAGCAGCCCTTCCAAAGGCAAACGGATACGATCCACGAGTTTAGAGTCCAGAGACTACCGGTCAGATCCAGAGAACGGCGTGTCCTGTCTGGCAACGTGCACTTCCCCAGGGGAGTGCATGGGAGCACCGCACTACAGAAAGCTCTTGCGTCGCTACAGTGTCAGTGAAATAGATAAGACTGATAGGACATCCTTGTCCTCTGACATCTACCAGAACATCTATACGACCAAGCAGAAAGGCCCCCAGAAAGAGCCTGAGCCCAGCATCATCTGTCCTGTTCTGAAGAGCAAAATCCTGGAAGCCTCTGGAGTGGCTGACCCCTCCTATGTCCAGATAGCACAGGATAAAAAGAACCAGAAGGCTTCAGGAGTGTTCTCTGTCCAGGAGGAGATGTACCCAAGTCCTGCTGAGCTGCGGGATGAAGACACGGAGGACGAGAAGTGCTGCTCCATCCGGTACTGCTTCTACTACAGGAAATGTGATGTTGCAGATGATGGGAGTGAAAAGGATGAGCTGTCCTATTCCATCCCCATGCAGATACTCCCAGGAATGAAGCTGGACAATCAGATGGTCCCAGTCATGAGCAGGACTCTCCAGGTCCTAGATGCAACAGCCTGCAGCAGTCCCAATGACAGTCAGACCCAGGAAATAGATTTAAGGACCTCCAGTTTTGAGGGGAGCTTGGCAAAGATCAACACCCTTCGAGGCCACGCCTACAGCTTTCCCAACGGGTTTCTGCAAGTGCAGCTGGACACCAATGAGCTCCTGACTATCCTGAGGCAGTGTGTGCTGAGCCCTGATGTCCGGGACTGCAAACCCTACATCTCCCAGCTGGCTGAGTACAAGCAAGAGCTCGCCCTCAAGTTCAAGGAGTTTCGGGCGTCCTGCCGCCGCGTCGCAGCCGTGGACAAGAGCCCTTCCCACATGCTCTCTGCCATCACGAGCAGCTTCCAGGTGCTAAGCAGCCTCATCGAGACCTTTGTGAGGCTGGTGTACGTCGTGCGCTCGGAGTCCCAGCGCCAAGAGCTGCTGACGAAGGTGGAGGAAGTGGTGAGAAACTACACCTTCCTCCTGAAGGCTGCGGAGGAGTCCACGGCCAGGATGCTGAGCCACCAGCAGACCGTGGAGCAGCTCGCCCGCCAGTCAGCCACGGTTGCCACTGTCATGAGCACGCTGACACGCTCCCTAAAGACGCTGATCAATAAGTAAGCCAGCTGTGAAGACCAACAAGCCAGTGTGTGCCAGGCCATGTGCTGACGGTTCTCCAGTCTCACGGGTCTGGTGAGGATGCGTGTCTGCAGCCCCACATCCACCGGAGTCTGCAGTAGCCAAGACACTCTTTGATCTCTGCAGGATGGATGGTGGTGCTGGTGGTGGTGGTTTTGAAGGGTGGATTCATGCCCTGTCACAAGCTGTTCAAACCAGCTCGTCAGGGGGCTCAAGCAGCTTCTTTGCTTGTTCTCCCACACTGGCCTTGTCGGTGACGGTACTTGGGAGGCACAGCTGCCCCATCTCCACACTAATTTGGTTCCATGGGGTTCTGGGCCTCACTGGTGCAAGGACCTTTGTCACAGTTTGTGGTAGGCCAGTGAGTTATCAGATGCTGAGCTGAAATCTTCTGGCTTCACTTGGGCAGTGTGGAGCCAAACCAGTGTCTTGCCACGTAAACAGCTCTTCTGCCTCCAGGATCTTCCTGGCCCACAAATACAACATCATTAGCAGCAGAAGGGATCTACAGGGATACAGCAGGGGTGAAAGTCCCTGCTGCTATGCTAGGGCTTGGGAAGTAGTCCTAGCACAGGCAGGATGCCATGATCCTGGGACAGAGCTAGGTCACCCTACTGGGCTCTACGGTCACAGCTTAGGCACCAGTGCTCTAGTCCTGAGCACAAGTACTGCCTGTGCAAAAGGCATGGGCTTAATGCCTGCAAGTAGGGAGGATCCAGGGAACTACAGGCCTGTCAGTCTGACCTCAGTGCTGAGAAGGTCATGCAGCAGGTAGTCCTGAGTGCCATCACATGGCATGTACAGGACAACAAGGGGATCAGGCCCAGCCAGCATGGGCTTGTGAAAGGCAAGTGCTGCTTGACCAGCGTGGTCTCCTTTTATGACAGGGAAGCTCAGTTAGTGGGTGAAGGAGAGGCTGTGGGTGTTGTCTACCTAGACTTCAGTAAAGCCTTTGACACTGTGTCCCACAGGATTCTCCTGGAGAAACTGGCTGGATGTCTGGGCCCAGGAAGTGGTGGGGAATGGAGTTAAATCCAGCTGAGACCAGTCACTAGTGCTGTCCCAGGGTTCAGTGTTGGGGCCAGTCCTGTTTAACACCTTTATCAATGATCTGGACGAGGGGATTGAGGGCACCCTCAGTCAGTTTGCAGATGACACTAGGTTGGGCAGGAGTGTTGATCTGCTGGAGGGCAGGAAGGCTCTGCAGAGGGATCTGGACAGGCTGGGTCCATGGGCTGAGGCCAGCTGGATGAGGTTCAGCCAGGCCAAGAGTCAGGTCCTGCCCTTGGGTCACAACAACCCCCTGCAGCTCCAGGCTGGGGCAGAGTGGCTGGAAAGTGCCCGTGGGGAAAGGAGCTGGGGGAGCTGGTCCACAGCACCTGAACATGAGCCAGTGTGTGCCCAGGGGGGCAAGGAGGCCAAGGGCACCTGGCCTGTGCCAGCAACAGTGTGGCAGCAGGACCAGGGCAGTGACTGTCCCCTGTGCTGGGCACTGGGGAGGCCCCTCGAATCCTGGGTTCAGTTTTGGGCCCCTCATGACAAGAAGGACATTGAGGGGCTGGAGCGTGTCCAGAGAAGGAAACAGAGCTGGGGAAGGGTCTGGAGCACAAGTGTGATGAGGAGCAGCTGAGGGAGCTGGGGGTGTTTAGCCTGGAGAAAAGGAGGCTCAAGGGGAACCTTCTCACTCTCTACAACTCCCTGGTTGTAGTCTGGTGGGGTTCAGGCTCTGCTCCCAGGCAACAAGTGACAGGACAAGAGGAAACGGCCTCAAGTTGTGCCAGGGGAGGTTTAGATTGGATATTAGGAAAAATTTCTTCACTGAAAGGGTGGTCAGGGTTTTTGGGATAGGCTGCCCAGGGAAGTAGTGGAATCACCATCTGTGGAGGTATTTAAAAGATGTGTAGTTATGGCCCTTGGGTACATGGTTTAGTGGTGGGCTTGGCAGTGCTGGGGGAACGGTTGGACTCAATGATCTTAGAGATCTTTTCCAACCTAAACAATTCTGTGTTCCCCTTCCTCTTCTGGATGGCTGTATCCATGAGACCCTGCAAGGAACCCAGACTGATCTTTGACCATCGCAAACCAGAAGCTGGGCTAGCAGCTGAGAGGAAACCTCTTTCACACCATTCTCTAGAGGTCAGGTTCTTGCCTCCAAGGCTCTGCCCAAACCCTCTCCCATTTCCTTTCACCGTGACCATTAGAGAGGAACCCTAGATCAGCTTTGTCTGGGAGCCAGACAGGGGCTGTCCTTTGCCAGGGTGTTGGGGTTCTTTTGCTATCTTCACCTGGCTGACTGCCATAAGAAGCATTATTCAGTACTGTGTGATGGTTATTTGTTTGAAGTTGGGTTTTTTCGATTGGGTTTGTTTTTTTGTTTTTTTTTTTTTTCACTTGCAGGTGAATGGTAAAATGATTCCTAGTTGCGTTCCTTCCCACCCCAAGGTTCCCCTCCTCCTCCTCCCAGTCTAGCTACTAGATATAATCAGTCAGACAGCCTTAATTGGTGTTTCGCTGCAGTCACCTCCAAAACAGAGCAAGGAGAAAAATGCAAGGTTACACATGGCATTGCCCTTACCCTGCCACCCACTGCCCCTCCCGCGTGCACGGGGAGCGCGGGTCCCGCGTCTCCCCATCCCACCCCTCCGGCTGGAAAGAGAGGTCACGGCATTGATCAAACCCAGCCCGCTTGCCCCAGTGCTTGGGGAACGATCAGGGATCTCCGTAGGATCAGTCGCTTCCCACCTCCATCGTTTTTTACAAATATGCACATTCGGAACGTCTCGTTCTTCCGCAGGAGCTGTGGGAACGCACAACGTGCTTTTAACACGCGCGCCCTCGGCCCAGTGCAATAACCTCCCCCGGCCCGGGGCTGTCCTGGCCTTGGGCTGTCAGCAAGGCAGAGAGGATCCTGCTGTGGGACAGCCTCCTGATTTCAAGAACCATGTAGCAAATATCCAGTGGAAGAGCCAGTTGGGACGTCAGCCCGTGGTGTGCCAGGCCTGTTACAGTGCTGAAGGCTGACAGGGAGATGTGTTTTCCTTTTCCCTGGGAATAACCTGTTATGAAACTCTGAGTTTCTTCAAGCTCCCCGTTATGCCTATATCATTCCTCCATAAATCTCTCAGTCTAATACAGAGGAAAATTTTTTTATTGTCTGTATATATTATATATAAATTAAAAAAAATATATAAATTATATCTATACACAAAATTTATGTCTTGTTTTACAAACAAGAAAGATTAAATATATTAATCTTAATATCCAAACTAGCATTTGTGTCTTTTTTTAAGAATTTTGTGGAAATGTGGTTATTCTCAGCTGTACAAAACACTGTTTGTAAGCAAATCCACCTGTTTTTGTTGCTATGGAAATGCACCTATCTCCATACTGGAAGGGCACAGCTTAAAGATTCCAGCATTGCTGGGCTCCACAGCAGTTAAGTTACCATGCCATCAAGGATGCAGGTTGAAACGAACTGTTTGACTCGCCAAGGTCACTTTTGTGTTATTAATTTTGGTTTAATTTCCCTCCAGAAGAGGAAGGCAGCAGCAATCACCCCTTCAGCGCTGGCACTGGGCACTGTGGCTTTGCTGGGGAAAGTGTGGGACACCCTCCTGCCCCTTAAGTAGGGGAGAAAAGGATGCTTTAACAAACTCCTGGTCCCTTCCAGGTGAGCCAAGCTGAGCACCCACTGAGCAGCTCCAACCCACGTTTTCAGCCAAGTCCCAGCCTTTCCCTGGCTCTTCTGCCTGGGAAGAGGTGACAGTGTGTGACCTGTCAGTGGCCTGGTGGCTCTGCTGCCCCGTGGGACTGCTCAGGTGTGTCTGCAGGGGAAAGCCCAGCAAAAGCAGAATGTCAGAGCTGGGAAGAAATCTGAGCCGGGCAAACAATTTCCCAGCCACAGATGATTTCCAGCGTACACATTTCACCTGGCACAATGAACCCCGCTGTGTTTATCAGGGAGGAAAGCATTGATGTGTGTGTTCTATGCACCCCAAAGCCCCCAGGAGCTATAAAATCCAAGTGCAATAAGGATCCAGCACAAAAAAATAAATCCTTAGAGGAACTGGGTCATTCTCTGTACGGGGGTTGAATGTGTTGTCTAAAGCAAAGGCGGCAGCACTTGAGACTCACACATGCTCTCGGTGCCTCCAGGGCTGTTATTTTAATCTGCATCACACCATTTCCCATGCTGAACTGACGATGACACCGAAAGGGACAGAACCCACCTATTTATAAAGCTGGATGTGGATCGAAACCAAGAGGTTTTCTAACAACCCCCCAGAGCCTGAAAATATTATTGACAGCAGGCAGTGTAACCGGCTATCTCTGAGTCGGTGCTTAGTACCATCTAGTGGGCAATAAGCACCCTGTCAGAAAGGAATGGCTTCTTCACAGCACCCTCTTGTTGTTTGTACCGAGATATTGTTTGTTGCAGTAGGTGTTCCAGGATCAGCCAAACGTCCCTTTGTGAATGGAGGAGCTGGACTGGTACATACCCAGGAAGGATGATGTTGCTGTGCTCGTTTTTTAGGTGTAGTCCCTGCAGCCTCAGCATTCGTAAGTGCCCTTAAAGGAAATGGTCCAGGTAAAACACAGAGAATTAAAAGTAATTTCTTTTTCCCAGTTCTACCTCCCATCTAGTTTATCTACCTGCAGACTGGCTAGTTCTCATCCAGCTCTTCACTTTGAAGCCACTGTGGCCCAGGAAGTCAAAGCAAGGAAAACGACAGTGTTGTTTGCAGGGGTGTGTGCAGAAAGATAAATGAATTTTTCTGCATCCCCTCTCACCAGAACAATCTTCCTGAGCATGACAGGTTGTGTTTGCTGCCCTTTAGCACCTTCTCAGAGCAGCACCAGCAGTACCTGCCCTTCTCATACTGCCTTGGCCCCGAGTTTTCTGCTGTAGCCTTACAGATGATGCAGATTTCCTTCAGAACCTTCACAGCTCCCAGGAGCACTGCTCAGCCACAGGATGTATTCCTGGCCATCTGATGTCACTGCACCCCCATAGCCAGCTCCCTCCCTTTACCTCCTCTAAATTATGTCTACTCTCAAGGAGTCCTCGCCAAGGCTCTACCGGCGACAATGAACAGAAAAGGAACAAAAACTGGGCCACTGCAGGTCCCCCTAAAACACAGGAGAAAAGCAGAAGACCTTCTGGTGTGCTAGTTTTGGCTGGGGTAGAGTTAATTTTTTTCACAGTAGCTGGTATGGGTCTGTGTTTGGATTTGTGTTGATAACACAGGGATGTTTTAGTTATCACTGAGCAGGGCTTACACAGAGCCAGAGCCTTCTCTGCTCCTCACCCCACCCCACCAGCGAGGAGGTTGGGGGGCACAAGGAGCTGGGGGGGACACAGCCAGGACAGCTGCCCCCAACTGACCCAAGAACACACAGTGTCATGTTCAGCATACAAAGCTGGGGGAGAAGGAGGAAGAGGGGGATGTTTGGAGTGATGGCATTTTGTCTTCCCAAGGCTCCACCATATGTAATGATGACTTACTTGCCAGCTGAGGTTAAACCACAACACCTGGCTGTCAGGGGTTAAAGTGTCAAAAGCAGAAGCTGGAAAATCAGCAGGCCTCAAGCAGGAGTCCCAAGATAGGTTTTGTGTCTCGGTGGACTTTGCTGGTCATTGTCAGCTGGAGACAACAACTGGGCACCATGGTTTAAAGCACTTTGAACTCTAATCCCCATGGCGTAGCAGACACATTCTCCTGTCGGGATTTCCATCCTCTCCAAGGTCTTGGCAACACTACACAGGACTTGCAGGAGCCCCAGATACAACAGCAGAGCAAGCTGAATAGCTGGGACCTACTGCTGCTTTCATCATGACCAAGGGAGCCGACAGTCAAATAGAAGTGAGTAATGTCTAAATTTTATCCTCATTTAAAGCACAGTGTCTGGATTTCTGTGTAAAATATCCTAACAAATTCCTCACATAGGCAGTCACAGTGGAGCTGGCCAGGACAACCATGGCTTTAATTGGACATGGGAGAAGTCTGCCAGGGAGGACAAGTATCTCAGCCTGTTTACATCACCCAACCATATCTGGTATACATGAAAACAGTCCATACACTTGTTATGAAACTTTTCTGAAGGTTTTTTTGTCAGGCAGGGCATGAGCAGATGCCTCATCCCACTGCAGCTGCTGCACAACCTCCCAGCCCAGCTGAGATGGTGCCTCTTGCTGTCACTTGTCCCCCACATACAGAGTGAACAGGGAGGGGGAGGAGGTTCTGCAGCTGGACTATTAAAGTTATTTAAAAGCTGTGTTTTTGTGGCAGCAATTCCAGTTTTGCCTCTCTGAGGTTTGTTGCCCATGCCAAGGGCTGGGGAAAGAGATGAGAGGGCTGGGGACATGCACCAGGTCTACACACACTGTCCGGGACATTTTACAACTCTCTACTAAATCCCACTTTTGAAAGGCACCTTGGAAATACTCCTGAATCTAATGAATATTCACCTCTTCCTAGAGCAACAGCGGTCCATCCTCAGTTTTACCTGGGCTCCTCAGAA